TCATTCTTAACCACTCCACAATTCTTACGTAAAATACAACACAATCAACAATACAATCAAGTTGAAGAGTTCATTTGCATTGTATAGTGCCTGGAGTGGATTTATATTTTTTAAAGAAGAGACAGTGAGTTCTTCCCACGAGAGCTGATATTTAATGATCTTACGAAATGTCAGGTGCATACACTTTGCATTGTTTAGCGTTTGGCTGTGAAGTTTTGCCTGACGTGATAAAGTGCTCGATCTAACTATAAACATGACTAAAGAATGTTTTAATCAGAGGGAATATCTTTTATTGTTCTCAGTGAATCAGTTGATTAGTATTTTTATAAACTGAAAAACAGGCGTTTAATTAACAGCTCTTATTCATCACTGAAAGATTTCAAGAGTGTGAAGTATCTGGAGGAGAAGAAAGACTAACTGAAGCAGTATCATCACTGTCACCATTACACTGTGACCCTGGGAGGGACTGACCATTAAACATGTCACTGTCATTAGTACACTGTGACCCTGGGAGGGACTGACCATTAAACATGTCACTGTCATTAGTACACTGTGACCCTGGGAGGGACTGACCATTAAACATGTCACTGTCATTAGTACGCTGTGACCCTGGGAGGGACCGACCATTAAACAAGTCACTGTCATTAGTACGCTGTGACCCTGGGAGGGACCGACCATTAAACATGTCACTGTCATTAGTACACTGTGACCCTGGGAGGGACCGACCATTAAACATGTCACTGTCATTAGTACACTGTGACCCTGGGAGGGACTGACCATTAAACATGTCACTGTCATTAGTACACTGTGACTCTGGGAGGGACCGGCCATTAAACATGTCACTGCCATTAGTACACTGTGACCCTGGGAGGGACTGACCATTAAACATGTCACTGTCATTAGTACACTGTGACCCTGGGAGGGACTGACCATTAAACATGTCACTGTCATTAGTACACTGTGACCCTGGGAGGGACTGACCATTAAACATGTCACTGTCATTAGTACACTGTGACCCTGGGAAGGACCGACCATTAAACATGTCACTGTCATTAGTACACTGTGACCCTGGGAGGGACCAGCCATTAAATATGTCACTGTCATTAGTACACTGTGACCCTGGGAGGGACTGACCATTAAACATGTCACTGTCATTAGTACACTGTGACCCTGGGAGGGACCGACCATTAAACATGTCACTGTCATTAGTACACTGTGACCCTGGGAGGGACCGACCATTAAACATGTCACTGTCATTAGTACGCTGTGACCCTGGGAGGGACTGACCATTAAACATGTCACTGCCATTAGTACGCTGTGATCCTGGGAGGGACCGACCATTAAACATGTCACTGTCATTAGTACGCTGTGACCCTGGGAGGGACCGACTATTAAACATGTCACTGTCATTAGTACACTGTGACCCTGGGAGGGAGTGACCATTAAACATGTCACTGCCATTAGTACACTGTGACCCTGGGAGGGACCGACCATTAAACATGTCACTGTCATTAGTACACTGTGACCCTGGGAGGGACCGACTATTAAACATGTCACTGTCATTAGTACACTGTGACTTTGGAGTGGACCGACTATTAAACATGTCACTGCTCGTTAGTACACCAGACCCTGGGAGGGACCGAATTATTAAACATGTCACTGTCATTATTACATTCGTGACCCTGGAGACCCCAATCATTAAACATGTCACTGTCATTAGTACACTGTATCTCTGGGAGGGACCACCATTAAACATGTCACTGTCAGTACACAGACCCCTGGGAGGGACTTGACCCTACTAAAACATGTCACGTCATTAGTACATTGCATCCTGGGAGGGACCTAATTACCAAACATGTCACTGTCATTAGTACACTGTGATCCTGGGAGGGACTGACCATTAAACATGTCACTGTCATTAGTACACTGTGACCCTGGGAGGGACTGACCATTAAACATGTCACTGTCATTAGTACACTTTGACACTGGAAGGGACTGACCATTAAACATGTCACTGTCATTAGTACACTGTGACCCTGGGAGGGACTGACCATTAAACATGTCACTGTCATTATTACACTGTGACCCTGGGAGGGACTGACCATTAAACATGTCACTGTCATTAGTACACTGTGACCCTGGGAGGGAGGGACCATTAAACATGTCACTGTCATTAGTACATTGTGACCCTGGGAGGGACTGACCATTAAACAGGTCACTGTCATTAGTGCACTGTGATCCTGTGAGGGACTGACCATTAAACATGTCACTGTCATTAGTACACTGTGACCCTGGGAGGGAGCGACCATTAAACAGGTCACTGTCATTAGTACACTGTGACCGTGGGAGAGACTGACCATTAAACATGTCACTATCATTAGTATTGACTGTGACCCTGAGGACCATCATTAAACATGTCACTGTCATTAGTACACTGTGACCCTGGGAAGGACCGACCATTAAACATGTCACTGTCATTAATACACTGTGACCCTGGGAGGGACTGGGCATTAAACATGTCACTGTCATTAGTACACTGTGACCCTGGGAGGGACCGACCATTAAACATGTCACTGTCATTAGTACACTGTGACCCTGGGAGGGACCAGCCATTAAATATGTCACTGTCATTAGTACACTGTGACCCTGGGAGGGACTGACCATTAAACATGTCACTGTCATTAGTACACTGTGACCCTGGGAGGGACCGACCATTAAACATGTCACTGTCATTAGTACACTGTGACCCTGGGAGGAACTGACCATTAAACATGTCACTGTCATTAATACACTGTGACCCTGGGAGGGACTGACGATTATACATGTCACTGTCATTAGTACACTGTGACCCTGGGAGGGACTGACCATTAAACATGTCACTGTCATTAGTACACTGTGACCCTGGGAGGGACCGACCATTAAACATGTCACTGTCATTAGTACACTGTGACCCTGGGAGGGACTGGGCATTAAACATGTCACTGTCATTAGTACACTGTGACCCTGGGAGGGACTGGGCATTAAACATGTCACTGCCATTAGTACACTGTGACCCTGGGAGGGACCGACCATTAAACATGTCACTGTCATTAGTACACTGTGACCTTGGGAGGGACTGACCATTAAACATGTCACTGTCATTAATACACTGTGACCCTGGGAGGGACTGACCATTAAACATGTCACTGTCATTAATACACTGTGACCCTGGGAGGGACTGACCATTAAACATATCACTGTCATTAGTACACTGTGACCCTGGGAGGGACTGAGCATTAAACATGTCACTGTCATTAGTACACTGTGACCCTGGGAGGGACCGACCATTAAACATGTCACTGTCATTAGTACACTGTGACCCTGGGAGGGACTGGGCATTAAACATGTCACTGTCATTAGTACACTGTGACCCTGGGAGGGACCGACCATTAAACATGTCACTGTCATTAGTACACTGTGACCCTGGGAGGGACTGACCATTAAACATGTCACTGTCATTAATACACTGTGACCCTGGGAGGGACTGACCATTAAACATATCACTGTCATTAGTACACTGTGACCCTGGGAGGGACTGGGCATTAAACATGTCACTGTCATTAGTACACTGTGACCCTGGGAGGGACCGACCATTAAACATGTCACTGTCATTAGTACACTGTGACCCTGGGAGGGACTGGGCATTAAACATGTCACTGTCATTAGTACACTGTGACCCTGGGAGGGACCGACCATTAAACATGTCACAGTCATTAGTACACTGTGACCCTGGGAGGGACTGACCATTAAACATGTCACTGTCATTAGTACACTGTGACCCTGGGAGGGACCGACCATTAAACATGTCTCTGTGATTAGTACGCTGTGACCCTGGGAGGGACCGACCATTAAACATGTCACCGTCATTAGTACACTGTGACCCTGGGAGGGACTGACCATTAAACATGTCACTGTCATTAGTACACTGTGACCCTGGGAGAGACCGACCATTAAACATGTCACTGCCATTAGTACACTGTGACCCTGGGAGGGACTGACCATTAAACATGTCACTGTCATTAGTACACTGTGACCCTGGGAGAGACCGACCATTAAACATGTCACTGCCATTAGTACACTGTGACCCTGGGAGAGACCGACCATTAAACATGTCACTGCCATTAGTACACTGTGACCCTGGGAGGGACTGACCATTAAACATGTCACTGTCATTAGTACGCTGTGACCCTGGGAGGGACTGACCATTAAACATGTCACTGTCATTAGTACACTATGACCCTGGGAGGAACCGACCATTAAACATGTCACTGTCATTAGTACACTGTGACCCTGGGAGGGACTGACCATTAAACATGCTACTGCTAGTACATCAGAACAGGGACCGACCATTAAACATGTCACTGTCATTAGTACACTGTGACCCTGGAAGGGACTGACCATTAAACATGTCACTGTCATTAGTACACTGTGACCCTGGCAGGGACTGACCCTTAAACATGTCACTGTCATTAGTACGCTGTGACCCTGGGAGGGACTGCCCATTAAACATGTCACTGTCATTAGTATACTGTGACCCTGGGAGGGACTGACCATTAAACATGTCACTGTCATTAGTACACTGTGACCCTGGGAGGGACCGACCATTAAATATGTCACTGTCATTAGTACACTGTGACCCTGGAGGGAAATCCACCCATTAAAACATGTCACTGTCATTAGTACACCGTGACCTTGGGAGGGACCGACCATTAAACATGTCACTGTCATTAGTACACTGTGACCCTGGGAGGGACTGACCATTAAACATGTCACTGTCATTATTACACTGTGACCCTGGGAGAGACTGACCATTAAATATGTCACTGTCATTAGTACACTGTGACCCTGGGAGGGACCGACCATTAAACATGTCACTGTCATTAGTACGCTGTGACCCTGGGAGGGACCGACCATTAAACATGTCACTGTCATTAGTACACTGTGACCCTGGGAGGGACTGGGCATTAAACATGTCACTGTCATTAGTACACTGTGACCCTGGGAGGGACCGACCATTAAACATTTCACTGTCATTAATACACTGTGACCCTGGGAGGGACTGGGCATTAACATGTCACTGTCATTAGTACACTGTGACCCTGGGAGGGACCGACCATTAAACATGTCACTGTCATTAGTACACTGTGACCCTGGGAGGGACTGACCATTAAACATGTCACTGCCATTAGTACTCTGTGACCCTGGGAGGGACTGACCATTAAACATGTCACTGTCATTAGTACACTGTGACCCTGGGAGGGACTGACCCTTAAACATGTCACTGTCATTAGTACACTGTGACCCTGGGAGGGACCGACCATTAAACATGTCACTGTCATTAGTACACTGTGACCCTGGGAGGGACTGACCATTAAACATGTCACTGTCATTAGTACGCTGTGACCCTGGGAGGGGACAGGCCCTTAAACATGTCACTGTCATTAGTACGCTGTGACTCTGAGGGACTGACCCTTAAACATGTTACTGTCATTAGTACGCTGTGACCCTGGGAGGGACTGACCATTAAACATGTCACTGTCATTAGTACGCTGTGACCCTGGGAGGGACTGACCATTAAACATGTCACTGTCATTAGTACACTGTGACCCTGGGAGGGACCGACCATTAAACATGTCACTGTCATTAGTACGCTGTGACCCTGGGAGGGACTGGGCATTAAACATGTCACTGTCATTAGTACACTGTGACCCTGGGAGGGACTGGGCATTAAACATGTCACTGTCATTAGTACACTGTGACCCTGGGAGGGACTGACCATTAAACATGTCACTGTCATTAGTACACTGTGACCCTGGGAGGGACTGGGCATTAAACATGTCACTGTCATTAGTACACTGTGACCCTGGAACGGACTGACCCTTAAACATGTCCCTGTCATTAGTACGCTGTGACCCTGGGAGTGACCGACCATTAAACATGTCACTGTCATTAGTACACTGTGACCCTGGGAGGGACTGACCATTAAACATGTCACTGTCATTAATACACTGTGACCCTGGGAGTGACCGACCATTAAACATGTCACTGTCATTAGTACACTGTGACCCTGGGAGGGACTGACCATTAAACATGTCACTGTCATTAATACACTGTGACCCTGGGAGGGACCGACCATTAAACATGTCACTGTCATTAATACACTGTGACCCTGGGAGGGACTGACCATTAAACATATCACTGTCATTAGTACACTGTGACCCTGGGAGGGACTGGGCATTAAACATGTCACTGTCATTAGTACACTGTGACCCTGGGAGGGACCGACCATTAAACATGTCACTGTCATTAGTACACTGTGACCCTGGGAGGGACTGAGCATTAAACATGTCACTGCCATTAGTACACTGTGACCCTGGGAGGGACCGACCATTAAACATGTCACTGTCATTAGTACACTGTGACCCTGGGAGGGACTGACCATTAAACATGTCACTGTCATTAGTACACTGTGACCCTGGGAGGGACTGACCATTAAACATGTCACTGTCATTAATACACTGTGACCCTGGGAGGGACTGACCATTAAACATGTCACTGTCATTAATACACTGTGACCCTGGGAGGGACGGGCAGGTGACATGTCACACTTTCAATCATTAGTACACTTCATGACCTGGGAGGGTTTGGCCATTAAACATGTATTAATTTGTACACGACTAGGAGGGCTGGGCGTGTAAACATTCCTTCGCTGTCATTAGTACACTACATGTGACCCTAGGAGGGACATGCATTAAAACATGTCTGTCATTGCATTTTTTACTGTGACCCTGGGAGGGGCTGACCATTAAACCTGTCACTGTCATTCGTACACTGTGACCCCGAGAGGTACTGACCATTAAACATGTCACTGTCATTAGTACACTGTGACCCTGGGAGGGGCTGACCATTAAACATGTCACTGTCATTAGTACACTGTGACCCTGGGAGGGACTGACCATTAAACATGTCACTGTCATTGGTACACTGTGACCCTGGAAGGGATCGACCATTAAACATGTCACTGTCATTAGTACACTGTGACCCTGGGAGGGACCGACCATTAAACATGTCACTATCATTAGTACACTGTGACCCTGGGAGGGACCAACCATTAAACATGTCACTGTCATTATTACACTGTGACTCTGGGAGGGACTGATCATTAAACATGTCACTGTCATTAGTACACTGTGACCCTGGGAGGGACTGACCATTAAACATGTCACTGTCATTAGTACACTGTGACCCTGGGAGGGACTGACCATTAAACATGTCACTGTCATTAGTACACTGTGACCCTGGGAGGGACCGACCATTAAACATGTCACTGTCATTATTACACTGTGACCCTGGGAGGGACTGACCATTAAACATGTCACTGTCATTAGTACACTGTGACCCTGGGAGGGACCGACCATTAAACATGTCACTGTCATTAGTCCACTGTGACCATGGGAGGGACTGACCATTAAACATGTCACTGTCATTAGTACACTGTGACCCTGGGAGGGACTGACCATTAAACATGTCACTGTCATTAGTACACTGTGACCCTGGGAGGGACAGATCATTAAACATGTCACTGTCATTAGTACACTGTGACCCTGGGAGGGACAGTCATTAAACATGTCACTGTCATTAGTACACTGTGACCCCGAGAGGTACTGACCATTAAACATGTCACTGTCATTAGTACACTGTGACCCTGGGAGGGACCGACTATTAAACATGTCACTGTCATTAGTACACTGTGACCCTGGGAGGGACTGACCATTAAACATGTCACTGTCATTAATACACTGTGACCCTGGGAGGGACTGACCATTAAACATGTCACTGTCATTAGTACACTGTGACCCTGGGAGGGACCGACTATTAAACATGTCACTGTCATTAGTACACTGTGACCCTGGGAGGGACTGACCATTAAACATGTCACTGTCATTAATACACTGTGACCCTGGGAGGGACTGAGCATTAAACATGTCACTGTCATTAGTACACTGTGACCCTGGGAGGGACCGACCATTAAACATGTCACTGTCATTAGTACACTGTGACCCTGGGAGGGTCTGACCATTAAACATGTCACTGTCATTAGTACACTGTGACCCTGGGAGGGACTGACCATTAAACATGTCACTGTCATTAGTACACTGTGACCCTGGGAGGGACTGACCATTAAACAAGTCACTGTCATTAGTACACTGTGACCCTGTGTGGGACTGACCCTTAAACATGTCACTGTCATTAGTACAATGTGTGACCCTGGGAGGGACTGACCATTAAACATGTCACTGTCATTAGTACACTGTGACCCTGGGAGGGACAGATCATTAAACATGTCACTGTCATTAGTACACTGTGACTCTGGGAGGGACTGACCATTAAACATGTCACTGTCATTAGTACACTGTGACCCCGAGAGGGACTGACCATTAAACATGTCACTGTCATTAGTACACTGTGACCCTGGGAGGGACCGACCCTTAAACATGTCACTGTCATTAGTACACTGTGACCCTGGGAGGGACCGACCATTAAACATGTCACTGTCATTAGTACACTGTGACCCTGGGAGGGACTGACCATTAAACATGTCACTGTCATTAGTACACTGTGACCCTGGGAGGGACTGACCATTAAACATGTCACTGTCATTAGTACACTGTGACCCTGGGAGGGACCGACCCTTAAACATGTCACTGTCATTAGTACACTGTGACCCTGGAAAGGACTGACCATTAAACATGTCACTGTCACTAGTACACTGTGACCCTGGGAGGGACTGACCATTAAACATGTCACTGTCATTAGTACACTGTGACCCTGGGAGGGACCGACCATTAAACATGTCACTGTCATTAGTACACTGTGACCCTGGGAAGGACTGACCATTAAACATGTCACTGTCATTAGTACACTGTGACCCTGGGAGGGACTGACCATTAAACATGTCACTGTCATTAGTACACTGTGACCCTGGGAGGGACTGACCATTAAACATGTCACTGTCATTAGTACGCTGTGACCCTGGGAGGGACTGACCGTTAAACATGTCACTGTCATTAGTACGCTGTGACCCATGTCACCATTACTTTGTCCATTGTAAGTCTGTCTCAACAGCTTCTCTCCCGCGCACTGGAACACACCTTGAAATGGAAGATTCCGGCATACCCTGTGGTGAAGCTCTGCTGGGAAGGTACCACCTGTTCCATGAGCGCGGGGTACAGGGTTAGAGAGGCTGCCGCCGCCAGGAACCAGCAGTTCCCT